ATCTAAGTATACGTATAATCAATTGCTTTCATAGATGAATACATATAAAAGCCGATATTCAATCAGGCCGAATCCGTTGAAACATTTATTCATCATCATAAGAAAAGTTTGCAGTCATCCAGATCGGACAGATTCGAGTCAATGCCCGTGTTAACGGTAAAAGAAATTCATTTGGAACCTACAGGCTGACTGAAGAAATAAAAGTCACTCATGAAGCGTTTTAGTCTTAATCTTTGCTTACCCGATCTCCAGATAAAACAAAATTCCTAGAGGAGTTCGCTATTTACATTATTCGGACTATTTCCCTCATCTTTCATCGCCATATTTATTACAACGTTTCGGCCGTTGTACGCTCTAGCCTTCTTCAGTTGTTTGGAATGTCGAACTGAACCCTTTATTTCGTTCACTGGGGTAGACTGTTCTAGTTCCACGTGCCATGTTTAATGGATATCAGTTATCTCCTGTTAATTCTCCTCTCCAAGTTCACAACTGCCTTATTGAACTCACACTCTTTGGGTCCTGTCACTGGATCTAACCAACGCCTTTATCCACTGTGCCATGTGTCCTTGAGGACATCTGTGTATGAATTTCTGGGTATTATAAACCTAATGTCTTCAGCAAACTTTTTTACCAGTGCTCATATTGCAATTTTTGTTGCTATCATTGCATGTTTTTACCAGAGTTCATATTGTAATTTGTTGTTGTTATTATCGATTTTCTCTGGCACTCCTTATTACTGGTTCCCATATTGTATTCATTTCTATGCTTGGTCAGCTCAGGAGATTTTTGTGGCCCAGCATATGTGCTGATCCCTTAAGTTTACGAATTTTCTAATGATGATCTTTGTCCATGATCTCAACCTGAATCAACAGAGGGCGGTGATCTCCTTTTTCCCCATATCTGGTCAGCCATGCCTGATTTTTCCACTTCCCCTTCGTGTTACACCTTAAAAATCCTGGTGTTCTTGATCTCCTTACAGATACTTAAGGATCGGATAACAATAAAGTCCGAATAATGTAAATAGTGTACATAATACCTCATCTCAGAAATATAGACAGATACTGAAGGATCGGATAAATATGGCAACAAAGATGAGGACAATAGTCCGAATAATGTAAATAGTGTACATAATGCCTCATCTCAGAAATATAGACAGATACTAGAGGAGTTCGAAATTTAATTTTGACAGTACTGCCATTAAATCGAAGATCACCGGCCTGTGATGAACGATATATGTATGAAGATGATGGAGCTTATTAACCATTTGAGCCCTGACCACCGCTTTACCAGTGGTAGAGAAAAAGGACGTAATCCCCAGCCACCGGTTGAACAGGAGTAGAGAAAATGACTTAATACCCAACCACCGGTTGAACGGTGTGCAAACACTTGCGTCGTGTTTTGCTATTGGTTGTCTTATTTTGAAGAACCAATCAGAAAAGCCGTAATATTCTGAGGTCATCGAACGTTATACCAATATGTCCGCGCCTTTTTATTGTGTTTTGTTCATGTGTTTTTGTTTAAAAAAAAAAAAAAAGATCGTTTTGACCATAATGCGAGCAGAGTCTCAACCTGGACCGTCAGGGAAGCAATCAAGAAGTTATATTTAATATGTAACTATTTTTTATATCTACCGTCAAACATTACACACGAATTATTTGCGAATTTTGAAGTCAGAAGCTCAGGTAGACGGGTTTAAATTGTTCAGGAACGCAGGACTCAAATGTTTAAACAATACAGCACCTCGGTGTATCTTTATTCCGTCTTCTCCTCGTACACAAAATAAAATGGTCTCTTATTTATTTGAGGTAATGGCAGGGAGTAAAACATCTGCTAACTTACTAACGAAGGGACGAGCAGAAATATGATATGGTTATTTATTTTATAGTTGATTATTTATCGACGATTTCATTAAGTATTTTTTTAAAAAAATAGCCCACGAGTTAGAGACTAGATTACGCAGTTCAAATATATATATATATTTTTTTTTTTAACTTAGTCTCTTGTCCCAATCAAACTACACGAAACCGCAAAGCAGAACTCTTCATGAAGAGATGAAATAAACGCCCAGTATGGCGGCCAGGGATCTCTCGATTTTTCATACATCATAGATTTTACACATTTTCGTGGGGCAAATAAGAAAAAAAAATAGTTTCATAAATAAATGAATGGTCAGTTTTAGAAATGAAAGAACGAGTTTTAAAAATGATTAATTTTTTTTTTATTATTTAAATAAAAATATATCAAAAGGAATGGGAAAATTATAAAGAAATTAATTTTTAAAGAGTTAATATCAGTAAATGCTTCGACAAAAATATTCAATTACTTATCAGCAGGAAAAAAATGATGCTTGTCATTTAAGATGGTGGAGGTCCTGATAAAATCTTGTGGAGACGTTTGCCCTACTGTCTCTGCCATCAGTCTGAAGTTCAGTCTGAAGTCGGACGACCGGCTGTTAGGTTGAACTCTCTGTCTTCGGGCGGGGAGGAACCCGAACGAGGCTATGCCGAAGGGCGGAGTCTCTTTCGAGGAGGTAAACCGACCCTGAACCCGTTTATACGGGTTCAATGGGTATATTTTTGGGCCGAGCCTACGGGCTCGGAGATCCCACATTAAACCGGCCTTGTGCCACATTATGTCCTCGTGGGGGGGGTGACTAAATACCGATCTAGTTTCAAAATTAACATGTCTTGTTTACGTATCAATGATAGTATTCTTGGCCAAGTGGTTAGAACATTTGCATCTCACGATGGTCGATTTGTCAGGAATAAAGGACCCAGTACGACGACCAGGGATCTCTCGACTTTACAAGATGAAGGATACATTGTAGATATATGTATGAAGATGATGGAGCTTATTAGATAGGTAATCCTGGAAGAAAAAGAAAATAAAATAATTGCAGCAATAAACTGAAGAGAAAACAAAAGAAAAGTTGAATTAAATGAAAAAAAAAATGGCCAAAACAATAAATAAAATAAACTCACAGAAAAAATAATAATTGGCAGAAAACTGCCAGTAATCAAAAACAAATGCCGGACATGTTTAGTTAAACAGACGAGATGCGCAAGCGCATGCGCAACTCGCATAAAAAGTCGTGTCATGAGATGTCGAGCAACAACATGAGCGAAATGGCCATTTCATCCATCAAAGATTGCTGGTTTCTGTCTTGAAGACAAACGATCGCGTTTGGAACGTCGCATCTACGCCATAAGCGCCGCTGAGATGAAATTTATGGCGAATTAAAAGGCATCAGTCAGAAAAAAATATATATATTATCTGATGGCATTTCTAAAGAGATGCAGTTTTTGTAATCGTTGGAATTTGTGGTTGAAGGAAAGAAAATGTTTTTTGATTTTCTATCTATTTCAGTATGTTATTATCTGTCTATTTATCTAGCTATCTCTATTTTCGAATGTTTGTTTCTTTCTATCTATCTATCTATCTATCTATCTATCTATCTATCTCTATTTCCGCATGTTTCTATCTATTTCATTCGATTTATATATCAGGCTTTCCCTATCTATCTATCTATCTATCTATCTATCTATCTATCTATATATATATATATATATATCAGTCTGTTCATATATATCTATTACAGTTTATTTTCTATCTATCTATCTATCTATCTATCTATCTATCTCAGTCTATTTATATCTATTACATTTTGTTCTCTACCTTTCTATCGGTATATCTATCTTTCGCATCTGTTTCTATCTATCAATCTATGTCAGTTTTTTTTTTAATTTCTCTTTCTGTTTCTATTTACTACCTATCTATCCTGACTGTCTCATTCAATTTATATATCTGTTTTTCTTCTCTCTCTTTCTCTCTCTCTCTCATTCCATCTATCTATCTATCTATCTATCTATCTCAATATGTTCACATCTGGTGAAATGTTGTAAGAGCCCAAGTGCAACCGAAAATTTTTATTTCTATGTATGACTAGTGCATTAGCTAAGTTGTTTTTAGTCATACATAAATTCAACCATAATTTTGATTTTAAAAATGCTACACTCATAAAAAAAGAAAATAACTCACTCAGAAGGAAAATTCTAGAGAGTGCCGCCATAGAAAATTACCCAAATATTAATCTACGCCCAGGTTTTTTCCCCATTTCACCTTTCTTAACAAAATTACTGCTCTTACAAACAAATATACACAACAGATTCATAAAATCAAAAGAAAATGGTTGAATACATCAACACAGATATAATGACAATATTCTCCACACGTGACAAATACTGACGTTATTTTTCAGTTAAAAATATGAAAATAGCGTTTCTCTACATTCCAGTTGCTAGGTACATTCTGTTTTTGTTTTTATTAGTTTTATTAGTTACTTTATTCAATTAATTTTATTTTCGTATTTTGCTTTGATAAAGTCCACATTGAACGAAACGTGTCAGCAATTACCAGTTTTCCTATTGTCATTGTTATTCATAAATATTGTCTTCTCTACTGTTAAATCAGGGAAATTTTCATTTATATATATATATAATAGTGTTACTATATTAATAACAGTATTTTATATATATATGCGGGTGTTTGTGTGGGTGTATAAAACCTAGACATATTTATATATGTACATATATATTTTAGTGAGATTTCATTATTTATTCCATTTTTATTTAAATTTTAATTAGTTTATATTTTTTAATAGAATTTCAGCATTATTGCAAATTTCTGAATTTCTGAATATCATGCCATTCGTAATATTAAAATTATCGATTATTTATATGTTTATTTTCAAATTGTTTAATTACTTATAGATTGAATTTACTTTTATGAGATTAAAATGTAATGATATTTACCGCATATTCAATATTTTCTTTATATTTATTTTGTTGTAATTTACACATGCACACACACACACACACACACACACACACACACACACACATATATATATATATATATATATATATATAAAAGGTAAAAGACAATAGGAAAACTATATGTTTAACCGACGCGTTTCGTCCAATGTGAATTTTTTCAAGGCA